TGAAAATATACTACCCTGGCATCCATGCTATTCTCTCTTTGTTTAGTTTTGTACTCACATTGTTTACCAATGCCCTAAACTATGCAACTACTGATTGTTTAATGGTGTCTGTGCCAATTCGTATCGATCGATCGGTATTTTTCATCTCGTGTAACATTTAAAAGTGTAAAATTGAAAGTTGCCAGCAAATCTGTACAGGTACACTACTCGCTTTCAGCATGCCAAATATTTTCAGAATTGTGTATTTATGTAATTCCAAAATCCCTTACTTCCCACGTCAAATGCTTATGTTCATTTGATCACAGCTGAATTCTCCTCTGCTATCTAATTAGATAGTTTTCCGCCATTTAGCGTGGGTTGAAAGATTGATACAGATAGATGATAGACAAAAATCATGTCTCTCCAGATTTCGTGGTTTTAGGATGAAAAACGTCAGAGTATTCGCAGCTTTTTAACGTAGTTCTTGGATTAAAATAATTCTGCTGACTATCATCTGCCGAATTTCGAGTACCTTTTGACATGATCTGCCTCTCCTCCAACCCCCTAACCCCCGGATTGAAAACTTGTATAGCATACTCAGTGTGTGGTCTGATGGAAAACGCAGGAATACATTTATGCCAAATGATTCAAAAGCACCTTCGGGTTATCCGATTTGCGCAGATGAGCATTGATGACGCTATAAAACTATTCCTGGGACATCCTAGATCCTTTCGAACGACAACGTTCAAATCACCTTGTTTTGGACACGTGGTATTTTTTATTGATTCCCAAGTACTTATGGAATGTGACCCATGTGACGCAGTAGGACAATCCTAATTTTCTTAACGTTCAATTCGATGTCGTTATTGATCAATCATTGGTAAGCAGTGCATTCAATGTTTCCCCTAGTGTTTTAAAATCTGCATGTTTCGGCCTCGTCCATGCATGGTAGTGCCATTGTCCCAAGGATATCTGGTGAATCATTTATGAATACGGGCGAAAAATGTGAGAAACAAAAATGGATCATTCGGGAATCCGAAGTAAAGCGCCGATAGGTTCCGATAGTGAACCATTAACTCAAAATTTGGCAATAGATTGTCAAAGAAATTCCTCGATCCAGTCAAGAACTAGTACTCGATCACCGTAGAGTTTTCTCAACAATATAGGATGGTGCACTCTAACAAAACTTTAGAGAATATCGAGTAGATTAGGTCTGTTGTCTCCGCTGCGCCAATTGTTCTCTATTCATCTCTTGCAAGTTGTAGATTCTTGGAGCATAACAGTTTTTATCAAAGTTCGTGTTTAACTTGGACAGAATGGTATACTTCTCGAAACACTCCATCAGCGAAGCAACAACAATTGATTCCATTATTTCCGACAGAACAATGAGGGGTAAATATTGATACAGGGAGAATGGGGTGGGGGTAAAAGAACAGGAGGAATGAATGAATGAATATTTTTTGTTGGTTTCACCTTACAAATTTTGAATGTTTTACCCCATTATCCGGAATGGGGTTTCGACAAAAAAATCGCACAACAATCGTGCCACTGACTTCTGTTCTGAGTCACATATCCCAACGTCTCTAACCAAGGACAATCCCCATTCCTTGGTCCCCAGCCCGAAGGACCAGCTGCAGCAACCAAAACCAGTTCTATGTCTAACTGCTTCTTAAATCTAGGCCGCGTTGTGACATGACCGCCGCGAAACTTCTTCTAGCCTTGCCTAGCGAGTACAAAGAGAGCACATAGATGTGGACGGTGGGCAGGAATGCGCAAAACGTGTCCAAGCCATCGGAGGTGATGCAGAGCGATTACTTTTGTCACAGAACGGCTATCGGTACCGAGCACAACATGCGGAATTTTTTTAAGGTTCACACTGTCCCACCAAACGCGATCAATGCTTCGAAGGCATCCTTGGTCGAATACGGAAAGCTTGTTAGCATCCTCTACGCGGAGGGACCAGGTCTCGCAACCGTCAAGTACAATACTACGAATCACGGCGAAGTAAACCCTTCCTTTAAGGGATAATCGGGATATTATGACGGTGCCACTTCAACCTCTCGATTACTTTCAGCTGATCACCGGAAAGAGTGAGTGCAGGCACAGGCACCTGCCAGTCTTGTACAAGCACTTTGTACTTTGATGGCGCAATGCACATACCATACCTGGATACCTCAATCGCCATATGGTTGCAAGCGTGCTAGGCTGCCTTTATATTGTCCCCCATCAAGGCAGTGTCATTGGCATCTTCCATGTCAAGAACTCTGATCCCTGGAAGAAGTTTGCCTCCATCGTTTGCTATACCGGACAAAGCATTCTGTATAATACTGTCTTGGATAAGGTTGAAAAGGAATGAGTATATAGGGTAGCCTTGTCGCGCTCTAGTGGAGCGGCAAAGGGTGATGAAAGCTAGTCATAGGTCCTAACTCAACCTGAGGTGTGATGATACAACTCTTTGAGGATCGACACATACTTCTAATATACGCCATGTCTAATAGCATAGTGCGATCCTATCAACAGAGTCGAAGGCGGCGTGAATGTCTAAGGACACAATGATTGTTTATTGATTTGAACGGATCATCCTTCGAACTTCACCTTCACACACAATCCTCAGTTCTTCGATTCAACCATACACTCGAAAGCACTAAACTCGAGTTTCGTTCTTATTAGAGCTAATCAATAGTGCATATCTACCGTCCCGTCCGGGATTTGAACTCCGGACCCATCGCATGAAAGACGTGTGCGTTATCGATGAATAGTCCTTTCAAATCGATAAATATCAATTATCCCACACTACTACTCACAAGTAACTGTGAGTTAAATGCGAAACAATGTTTGTTGTCCTGTGGTGAGCATAACAGNGCATAACAGTGCTCTATCAACTGTCAGAGGGGAAGGTTTTGATCCATATATCCGTCACCTGCCCGAAATCCAGCCTGTTCCTTGCGGGCATGCTCCTCACGAGTCTTATACAATCTACGAAGAATAATGGATAGTAACAGCTTTGACTTTATCAAGTCAAGTCATGTCAAGAGTTCACTTGATTCATTCATTCTGGACAGAAATTTTATTGAAGAAGAGAACGCGAGAACACGCAGCAAATGTAGAAAATTGCAGCATGAAAATTTACATTTGACTGTGTCATAATTCGTTTCGTGGAAACCAACAAACAGGAAAGGAAACGTGCAACGGAATCATGAAAAGGTGCGGTGCGAGTGTGTAAAAGTTTAAATTTATTGCGGGTGACAGAAGTGGAAATTGAGCGGGAGAGGGTTGTGTGTAAACCATGTAATGCATCGGACAAGATAGAGTCACACAGACAGTCACATGCCTTAATGTATTGATTGAAAGTTGAGTCAACCAGCGTCTAATAAGATATAGTTCCATATCTAGGGATGGTTTTCAGAGCGTTTAATCCACATGAAACCCTTAGACAATAGACCAGGGAAGATAACGGCAGAGAGCAGTAGGTCCAATGGCATAAAACGCACAAGAAAATTAATTTAGAAATGATGTACCCGCAGATGCCAAAAACGGGAAAGGCAAAAGGTTAGCTTACTGATTTTAAGAAAAGTTTGTTCTACGTGATAGGACCATTTGAAATCAGCAAACAGCAAACATTTTAAAGTTCTTGAAGTGTAGTGCGCTTCCAACTTTTAGGTTATTGATTGAGATGTTGGGAACAGATGATCCGGAAAGAGTTGATGACCTATGGTTATTGGAAAACAAAACTTCAATTCATTTATTGGGGTTTAAAAAAAGATGAACAGCTTGGGACCATTCGGAAATGAAACTTATGACTGAATGAAGGGAGCTCGTTGAAGGGTTGTTGTTTTGAGATGCACCACCAACTACCATGTCATCGGCATATTTAATTGTGAGAACAGTTGGTTTGAGTAACCAGCTTTGATTGTCAAAGGAGAACAGAAAAAGGGATAAAAATTGCTCCCTACATTAAACCTTGGTTTACAGTGACAGTTGAAGACCTAATACCATTGAGACACGTGAATTGGTGTCGGATGATAAAGTAGTCATGTATCCAATTCAAAAGATGTGGCGAGAGATTATGTTGCCAGTGTCCATAGGATATTTCTGTCAACAGAGTGAAACGCGTCTGTGTAGTCCATAAAAACAACATGAACAATTTTTAGTTTTTGTTCTATAGAGGATAAAACAGAACGTAAAAGACAATCAACCGCATCTAAATTAGAGGCGACGCTTACAATAAGCAAATGCATTGGAATAACAAAAATCAAATATAGGTGCTTGATAATAACTCACCTGTGTATTTTTATTACTGAAAATGAAGCGATAGTCCGAAGCTTACTCTTTCCTTTCTTAGGTACTGGAGTGATGCGAACATCACGCCATGAGTAGCTGGTCTACCCTCTGACAGACATGTAATAAACTTGAATGGCACAATTTGTGCTAGGTGGTTTCCACATACTTTAAGGATCACTGGGAATAACCCATCA